GACATGGCTCAAAATCGTTTGTAATGGCGCAGGTGCATCCGCTCTTTGTGTTCTCCCAAATTTTAATCTGAATTCTTCATGTCCCTTTTTGTCCATTCCCGAATTTATTTCACTATGTTATACTCCCTGAATAACATCTTCAAACCCTAATCTTTCCGATTGCTGTTTATATTCTTACTACCTCTACCACTACGGGATTTGAATCGACAATCGTATCTCTGTGCTAATGTGGAATGGCCACTTGAACTGGTGTACGTACGTACAAAGTTCTACGTTGTTGCCGACCGACTGACTGGCTCGGATGATGACGAACCTAAATAAAGATCCCGAATATCACAACCGGACTGTTAATGCTGTTAGGAATGGGTATACATCACAAAATCTCTGCAATCAACATTATTCAAGCCAAATAATATGTTGACAATATAGGACATGGCAAATATAATCGACAAGATGAATTAAATCATCCGCAACAAACACTACGAACCACGTAACTATTCTTTTCGTCTGTCTAAACCCAGTTAGCTATAAGACGGTGAAAAGCTTTATCAAATAATATATGCGAATTGACGCAAAATTTTTAAATACATTGAGAATATTTTTACCTTCAAGAACTCGCTTATTCTATGAATAATTTTAGGGTATTATTTCGTTAACTTAGACTTAACATTTGAATTACTGTTCGTACGGAACACTGAGTGTTGCTGTTATTTGGTTATTATTGTTTAATGAGTGTTTTTAGGAGTGACAACTGCATTTCATAAGTAACTAATAAAATGTATTAATACTTATTTTTATTGGAGAGCAGTTTTTGTACAATCTCCCAGGTCATCTGCCTTGCTTTGGAATCAAAGATGGATGGTGACTATCGCTGGGATCCAGGACTCGAATTTCGTTCTATTTAGGATTCGTCAACTGGATGTACCTGCATCCCAGATTTGATATTTACCCCAACAGTCAGACCTAGTCCCTTTCACTTAAAATTCTATAGAGTAATCCACTTAGCTACTGAGTTCATATCTCTGCTTCAGATGCTTGTTGCTTAATAGTAATGTCGATGCAATATGCTCAGGATTCACATATATCAAAAGAGACTGATCAGTCGCAGTTTTATATTAATTAAAATCTATCTTGCTGTTTATATTTTAATGAAAGTTACTTTTTTCAATTGTATCACCGACCAACAGAAGAATATTTGTCTATTTTACCACAAATCGACATTACTTTAAATAGTTTGCTTCTAAATAAATTTAAATTTTGAATGAATGAAAACTTTCACGCAACGATTTGACGTAATTAAGTAACTAACTGGTTGAATCCCTTCAATGTCAGTGAATTTTCTTAAAATATTCTGTATTTTAAGATTTTATGATATTATCTCAAATTTATTCTACAATTAGACATTAACACCATTGGATGTCGGCTTAGTGGTCTACAGGTTAAGCGTTCGTGCGCAAGACCGATAGGTCCAGGGTTTGAATCCCGCGAGTGAGATCGTGGATGCGCACTGCTGAGGAGTCCCATACTAGGAAGAAACAGCTGTTCGGTGCTTCCAGGTTTTTCATGGTGGTCTAGCTTCGATTGAACCATGAATTGAACTATAAAGCTACTACTTGAAAATAGTTAAAATCATTTGATTTAGCATATTTTTGAATAAACAGTTTTACACGTATGTAATACTGTTATAACATTAACTTGATATCATTGATATAAAAAAATTTGTCTGTATATACAGGGAATGTTTCAAGCCGTATTTTTTTATTTGTCTTGAATTGTTCGTTTCTAAGAGTTAACTATATTCTAACTAACTCAAAACATATACGGAACATATTTATTCGCTGATTCTCCAAACAGTTTATAATATCTACTTTGGATACAAAGCTTAGCATCATTACTGGAATTTAGGTCCTCTCATTCGTTATAGATACTGGGATATAATTTTCATTGGTTATTTACTTCTTAAAATTTCATATAGTATTAGAATTACCCCATCCAAAAAGGTATTATGAAGTAATTTATGTGTATCTCTTTCAACGCACTTTTTGTCTCGTTTACTAGAAACAAATTGTTTTAAAATCAACAAACATCTGATCACTGAGTGCTATGAGAAGCAGTGTTCTTAAAATATGGAGTCGATCAGATCAACCCCATCTTCTCATTGTTCTATCGAAATTTATAAAAGGGACTAATTGCTTTAAATAATGGGCTTATGAAATGGCATAAACTGGGGTTTAGAAGAAACTGGATAAGCAACTATCTGTTTAACACTTAACTACGATAAAATCACGTCAATGTTTTTAAGCAGTCAGATGTTTAACAGTGTATTTCATAAACAGGTTACACTGCTAACTATTTGACCTACGGATTTCCATCACTTCTGAAAGCCGGTTTCTTAACGAAATAAATAAATTAATCAGTTTTTCCTTGATAGACTCAGCATTTAAGGTACTCAGGAATAAACTGGTAATTTTCATATTCTAATTGCACTCCTCCCATTTCACTTTAGTCATTCGAGCAATATATTAACCCTTACATAAATAGTGGGTCTCAAAAACGAGTGCCTAAACCCGTTTATTATTAGGCGAGCTATATTAGCTATCGTTTATGAATAAAGTGAATGGTTTCGAATTAGTAGGTTAAGGGGGAAAATTTGTAGAAAGGAATCTTGTAAAACAAATCAATCCGAATCTATTTTCTAGGTTTGATCAACTAATCAGTAAAAGTATATTTTATTATTTTTAATAACGGTTTTGAAATCACTGTCGCCAATCAATGTATCTTCATGTAGTATTAATAACTTTAAGAAATAAAATGGATAGGTCATCATGTGCAGATAAGTCTGAAATTATTCTAGGCAAGAGAAATGAAAATAAAGTCCAAGTCGTTAGGTGAGAGTTTCATGCTGTTTGGAATTTTCCCATCTTACAGAATATCATTTCCCCTCCCCCGAATGACTCAGTATTAACGCCTCATGATGTAAACTGGGTGAATCTGTCTTTAATCCACCAGTTCGTATCAGTTCTCTCTAAAGTGGAAATACTCCTTACCACTGGGTGCCAAAAAGCATAAAACCTTTGTTTGTGGTTTTCTGCTGACCACCTGCAAACACCGAACGTCGCAAAATAGTGTAAGCAATCTTGATTCACTCGGATTAGTAGCCACACTGAATCTTGATAAATCGAATTCGATTATAATCGGCCACTACTCAGTGGTTAATCAATGAAAAATACAACTCTGATACATCGAGATGTATCATGACAGTAAATTTTCGAGTTGGATGTACAGTCAACAGAAGAGAACTATTAGGAGCTAACGGACTGTTACACAGTCAGTAAGGGATAATTTATATTTTCTCCCTTCCAAATAAATTTTGTTGTGATCGATTTTCACATTTAGGTTTGTTTTGAAGTGTTTAATTAAGTTTTATCTGTTGGTGGACTAACTAACTGCATAATGATTTTCATTCATCCGGTGTAACTAACATTTTATCGACCGATTTTCTTTTTTTTTCTACTGTTCTGAAATAGCCTATCATTTGTAATGAAGAGATATTTGGGGATTGTTAAGTGTTAATCAATGAAGTGCAATCATCTACTGATGATATGCACGTTTAAAAGGGAGATTTAGGGTTGAATAACACTATTAGATCCAATATCAATCAAATCACTTATGACTAAATTTTATGAATGTTTACATTTTGCAACCACTTTCATGCGTTCAAGAGCCTTCTAAATGTTTGTTGATAATGCAATATTTGTCAATTCACTTGGTATTGTTTGTTTGTATCTTCCCATTGTTGTTTAGGACTTCGAGTGATCAGTCTCTTGTTGGCATATGTGCATCCTGTACGGATTGCCTCGATATTGCCTTAAGTCACAAGCTTTATAAATATATTTTATTCATTTTGTAATGCTGTGTCATCAATATGGCAAAGCAAGGGCCGCATTCCTACAACTGAAGAACATATGGAACTCAAAACAACTTTCAACCAATATCAAAGTCAGAGTTTTCAATATGAACGTCAAGGCAGTTCTACTGTATGGAGCTGAAACTTGGAGAACTACAACAACCACCATCAAGAAGGTACAAGTATTTACAAATAGTTGTCTAGACGAGATACTCAACATCCATTGGCCGTATATTATCAGCAACAGCCTACTATGGCAGAGAACAAACCAGCTTACAGCTGAAGAAGAAATTAAGAAAAGTCGATGAAAATGGACAGGACATACAATACGCAAATCATCAAACTACATCACGATGCAAGCCCTAACTTGGAATCCTGAAGGGAAGTGGAAAAGAGGAAGGTCAAAGAACACATTACGTCGGGAAATAGAAGCAGATATGAAAAGGATGAATAGGAACTGGAAGGAGCTGGAAAGGATTGCCCAGGACAGGGTTAGATGGAGAATGCTGGTGAGTGGCCTATGTTCCTTCATGAGGAGTAACAGGCGTAAGTAAGTAAGTAATTAATTAAGTGTCATCAATAATTGCAACCACTAAGTGATGGGTTCGAACCTTAGTCTACATATTTCGATTTGAGTGAACAAAGAGTATCACCGAATCTTATGAATAACATAAATCTGGTTTAAAGCCAAACAAATCAATATATATATAGTAAATAATTTAGCTTACTTACTTACTGATCATTATATACGTAACTAACCTTAAGTGCTATAACTTTTGAATAAAATATTATTATGTAATTGTTCAACTAAGCTCTATATCACTAATTTATTTACAGTAGAAAATACATAATTTGTAGATTAATTAAAATCTTCATGTTTATTAAAAGTACATAAAAGGCAATAATTAAGAAATGAACTAAAAAGAAAAAAAACAAAACAGGAGCCAAAGATCGAAATGATTTATAAATACTAAACTATATCATTAATTCCAATGTTGCATTGCTCTATGAGTTTTTTATTATGCTGATAAATTACATCATGCGAATAACCTATGAATTTATTTTGTGATAATTTCATAGGGTATTCATTAACGAACGAACGAACGAACGAAAATAAAAGTAAAGAACTCCAACAATCATTAAATAAGTAACGAATGATTTTGTTTAAAGTTTTCATTTTATTGCTACCTTTCGTTGTTTACAGTGAATCGATTACAAGGTTAGTGCTATCATAATTTGTATATGAAGTTTTTCTATTGTATTATACAGGATTCAATTACATTCATCTCTTCATTTAAACTTATCTTATCCTGTATTGAATCATCAATGGAATTTATCAATTAAACAATTCAAAAATAAATGGTTCCAAAGACTGGTATCATCAAAGAATGGAATATATACTGAATATTTAGAAAATTACCAAAATGTAAGTTCATAATTAACAGTCGACTTAGAATAAATTTCTTTTGGATCTCTGTCTTTTTTTGGCTTTTATCTTTATGATATACGATTTATTACAATCAAATTTTTAGATTGAATATTATGGAGAAATTTCTATCGGGACTCCACCTCAAACATTTTATGTAATATTCGACACAGGATCACCATATTTATGGATACCATCTAAAATGTGTGATTCCAGTGATTTAGCATGTCAAGTACATCATAAGTATGATAGTTCGAAATCTTCAACTTATAAACCGAATGGTGAATTATTTTATGTCCAATACGGCACTGGAATAGCATCAGGATTTTTAAGCTCAGATTGTGTTCATGTAAGTATGTATATATTATTTATTTTATTTTAAAAAAATAATAATCATCTAGATCGGTTCATTGAATATTGTAGATCAAACATTTGGTGAAGTTACTCATCAACCTGGTCAAGTATTTATAAATTTTCATTTTGATGGAATTATGGGTATGGGATTTCAACAAAGATCACAAAATTCTAATCCAACACCTATATTTCTGAATATGATTGAACAGCGATTAGTAGATAAACCTGTATTTGCAGTTTATTTAAATCTGTAAGTTAATGATAATCCAAAAGAATTGTTTATTTGGTTTGAAATTTTAAGTGATTATATGTTTTAATATTAGTTCAGTTAGCATCCTGAAGTAAAATTTAGAATACACATTTTTATTCAACTAAATAATAGAAAGGACTTATTTGTATATATACTAATTTTTCGTAATAAATAACCATATTTTCTTTAGTAATGTGTTTCATACTTGTACATGTTCCATTTAATCAAATGGTATACTTCATATATGAATTTATTTATTTATTTGAACACATAAATATTGGTACAAGAGGGCACCAAGTATATATGCGTCACACCATATCTGTGTGTGTGGGCTGTGATACTTCCCGGGTGCCCAAAACGAAGCAGGTAGTTTTCTTAGGGAGCCACATCCCAAGCCTTTGACTTAAAGGTCTTACCCACAAGGCAGTAGAGCATCGTGAGGAGATGCAGTCCCATGGAAGCCGGTGACCAACGATTGGTCCATACGCCATTTGTTCCTCCAGGATACTGGAGCCCATGTGCACCACTGGTTTTGAATCCGGTTAAAGCGCTGGACATTCGCTTTTCGTCCTCTCATTTTTGTAAACAACACCCCCGCCACGAGAAGGCAGTGAGTAGGACTTCCCTGGCAGAGGCTGTATACGCATGACCGTGTGAGAGCATTTCGAGAGGCAGGGAGGGCCCACCCCACTCTCAGCCATACCAGGGCATTTTGGGGCTCATATATGAATGCACTAATATGTATAGATTGATTATGTATATACTTCAATTTTTCTTCAAAGAACTTATTTTTCGATGTACTTTGAATGATTGATTTCGTGTTTGTTGATTTTAATTTCACCAATCAGTAATGAAGATAAGACAACTAGTGGAGAAATAATGTTTGGTGGGATTGATGATAGATATTATACTGGTGATTTAACTTATTCAGACGTTGTAAGTGAAGAATATTGGATGATTAAAATAGATGGGTAAGTGATTGCTTTAAAAAATAATTCTACCTTATGAATATGTCTTTTCAAATAAGCAAGCTCATTCGGAGAAATTCCGAACCTAAGGTAAAAAATCCCAGTGATTTCATTAAGCATCACCCCAAGTACCCTTTCTACTGAATACAACAAAGTCTAAGGTGTGGCTACCGGAGTGCTGTGTTTTATGACTGCTACTGAAAAGTACATAAACATATATATAAACCATTTGAGTATATTTTAATACGAATTTACAATGTTAATTTCGGATTAGATTACATATGATAGGAGAATCACCACTTTTCCTAAATCCCTAATCCTGAAACAAATCCTAACTTGATGGCACTAAAGTTTATGAACGAACGGATTAGACAGTGCCTCTTTTGTTCTTGAGCGAAATTCATCCACACATAAGGTGAAAGAGGACTTATGACTGATGTCAATTTGTGATAGAAACACTGACCCTATACCCCTAATCTTTACCTTAAATCCTTAACCCTAATCAAGGACAACATTGAAACTCATAAAAATCTATTTGGGTCTTGGTAATTATTTGAGAAAACCGATAATCTATGTCCATAAGAACGAATTTATGTTTTTTTTCGATTTATAAGTATGTAAAATTTATGTAGTTTGTAGTATGATCATTTTCAGTACGAAAAACTATTCATTTACAAAGACTGTTTTCTGATTGGTTAAGAAATGACTGATAATTTGTGACAGTTATTTTAAGCTCGTCCCTATATTATGCTCTTGACAATAAGACCTAGTCAGTCCCAAAGAACATTTTTGCTCAAAAGATTGACTGGATAGATCAGTGAAAATTGAAACAACGAAAATGTTTTTCTTGGGTGACTATAATTTATGTACGAACCAATCAGATTTACGATAGTGAGTTTTGGGTTTTGGCGCGAAATTCATTCATCCATATGGCTAAATAGTATTTTGGAATTATAACTGATGTCAGTTTGTGGTGAAAACCCTAACTTTAGTTTTAACCGTTTTTAGACTCGACTAGGTTACTGAATTTTCGAGAGGTCACTCTGGTGTCACTCAAAAATTGTCCACAAACTATAGTCTCACCGCTTTTATTTTAGTAATGTACTGGAAAACAGGTCATAAATTAGAACTTTAAAAGAGCAAAGGATCAAGAAGGGAAAGCATTTTTGGTTAATGACATTTCTTATGAGTAATTCATTATGCAAAAAACAGTGATTAAAACTTAAAAAAGCATCTTCTACACATATTTAAATCTATTAATCATGGAAATCTTTTATTAAATGCTAAGATTTTCTCACTTCATCTTGAAAATGTTGGAAGTATATCAATCAACGATAAAATATTTTGTCCAAGTGGAAGTACTGCACTAATCGATACGGGTACAGCTTTAATATCAGGTCCAACTGAAAAAATTAATAATATAAATAAATATCTTGGAAGTATACAAGTATCTAATAATGAATACATTGTGGATTGTAATAAAATTCACAAGTTACCAATAATCGAAATAAAGATTAATGGCAAACCTATTCAACTGAAAGCAGATGACTACATTGTTGAGGTGAGAAAACATTACTTGTAGTAATTGTGTGTAATTGTTTTAAAGTTGGTTAACAATTGTAATTCATATAACAGACATTTCAGATGTAACTCTTAAAGACCAGTTCAATCTAATAACAACCCAAGTCTTGCATGGATTACCAAAATATTCAGTCTATTGTTTACAATAATAATCACAAATTGTTTATTAATTGTTTCATTATGTAGTAGTTACTTTACTTATTAATCAGGTTCTATAGCTGATCAGGTAATTAAGTAGGGTATTGCATTTATAACATGTAAGGTAGTTTTTTCACTTAGAAAACTAGTAGTAGAACACAAGATTCAACAGCAATTCTAAGTTTTTGTCAGTAATCTCATTTGTGGGACGTGGTGGATACAACCCTGACTTTATTCAACATCGACATACATTTAAACAATCCCATTTTGACGAGAAGAAAGTTAATTACAGGTACACTGAAAAAAATATTTTGAATTTTACTGTGAATAATTTAAATAATCAAACAATTAGTTCTGTATTCTACTACTTCTAAATGGTAGTATATTTACGTAAGGGCATGTGTTCCGTAATAATCACATTAACATCATCCAATCTCTTGTATTGTATTGATGTTTTATGTTTTCCATTTGTCTGACAAAGTATTGATCTTAATTTTCGAGTACTCGGTAGATTTTTCTTAGGCTTAAATATATGTCATTAGAGAACAGACTATATAGCCATGTGATTAGATGTTAAGTTGGCAAAACACTCAATAAAAATGACTTGAGACCACTAATGCCAAAGTTCTAGTGTGAAGCTATTTTATTTATTAAGTTGATTTATAGATCATGATACGACTTTAATAAGTTTGGTTCCTGTAATCGCTTATGGTTAACAAGTAACCTAGCTTAGGAAGAATAACATCAAAACTATATTACTGAGTTAGAAAGCCTTATTCTGTAGGTTCATTGAAGCTTTTGAGTCAGGAGAAATTTTACTGTATGGTCACCAACCACTGAACAACATTCAACACTATGTTGAGCAATTCTCTTTCAGTCAGTCAGCTACAACGTAGAACCAGGCACATATATGCATCTGTCCAAGTTGCCATACCTCAATAACACAAAAAGATGGACACCGGATTCATAAAAGTAGTTAATTCAGAGGTGGTAATATATAAAAGAAAGATTGCAATAAGGATATAGTACAGGAAGAAAGAATTAGTTCATAGAAAGAAAGATATGAAGCGATTTTAACCTCTTAGTTTAAGGGAAGACAGAGAGTGTATACACCGATGCCATTGTGATCGATTCTGAGCCATATCACCAAGAGTCTCCAACCACTGGTTACGAAAATCACGCGGATCCCAACCAAGTAGTCTGCATCTACCAGCATGGCTCAGACTTCAAGCACAGATGCCACGTTTTGGTTTAGCCGCCCCTAACTTTCTTCCAACCATCTCCAATACCGGATAGCATTGCACGTCGTGATAATCGGTATTCAGGCATACGTAACACTTGGCCCAACCATCTCAGTCGATGAAGATTCATAACCTCATCAACTGATTTACCATCATTCCCTAATACCCTGCGTCTAACCTCACTATTACTTACCCGGTGATCCCAGCAGACACCAGCAATATTTCTAAGGCATCTGTGGTCAAATACTAGTAGCTTACGAGTACCTTCTACTCTTAATGGCCATGTTTCGCTGCCGTAAATTAAAACAGAACGGACTGCCGCGCAGTATACTCGTCCTTTTAGTGGTAGACGGATATCTCGCCTTCGCCACAGGTGACGTAAGTTAACAAAAGCCAAGCGAGCTTTACGAATCCGTGTTGAAATTTCGTCAGACACCAACCCATTAGGGCTGATCAGACTTCCAAGATAAGTGAAGTTGTCAACGCGTTCGACTACTTCACTCCCTATCCTTAGTTCAGGTGTTAACGCAGACCAGTCCTGAAGCAACAAATTGCATTTAGAGGGAGAGAAGCTCATTCCAAACATTCTGGCATTGTTGCTTAGTGCTACCAGAAGACTCTGCATTTTGTCAGCGTCTTCACCAAACAGGACTATGTCATCTGCGTATTCTAAGTCGATAAGTGGACCTCCTGGATGGAGATCAATACCCGAGAATTCAGTCGACGAGAAAGTTATTTCCATCAGTATATCTATGATGAAGTTAAACAAAAATGGGGAAAGTGGACAGCCTTGACGGGCACCACTTGAGGTTGCAAAAGTAGATGACAGTTCGCCATAAGCTCTGACTCGACTAGTAGTGTTCGAGTAAAGAGCCTTTACAAGGTTTATGTACTTCTGAGGTACGCCTTTCAATGACAGACACTGCCACAAAATCTCGCGGTCTACAGAGTCAAATGCTGCTTTTAAGTCGAGAAAGACCACCATTGTCGGACACCGATAAGTATGCCTGTGTTCTAGAATCTGACGAATGGTGAATATGTGGTCGATGCAGCCACGAACAGGTCTGAAGCCAGCTTGGTTCTCTCGTGTTTGCAGTCCACGGGTCTTAGTTAGGCGTCCGATAATTATCGAGGCTAGTATTTTAGATATTATATTAGTTAAACTAACCCCTCTGTGGTTGTCACAGGATGATTTGGACCCTTTCTTATATATTGGGATGATAAGTGAGTGTGACCAGTTAGATGGGATAACGTCTAACTCCCAGATCTTAGCTAAAATATTAGTCAACCTAATCGCTAAAATTGGACCACCATTCTTAAAGACTCCTGGAGCCAGTTCATCTGGACCAGCTGCCCTTCCTCGTTTCAGACCAGTTATAGCCTTTTGGACTTCAGCAAGAGTTGGGGGACCTACTTCAATGTTCCATTCACATTGTCTGGGAATGGAGGGTAGTTGTAGAGTAGCTGAAGGCCAGCTGAACTGTTCTCTGAAATATTCCGCCCATCGTTCTAAACGTCTGGACTGAGAGCAGATGAGTATCGTCTTTTTCCGATATAATCTCACTTACACTTGACTTATTAATTCCAGTTTATTTTATTAGTCTGTAAAGCTGTCTTGTGTTCCCTATAGTCGCCGCCTTTTCCATCTCTTTTGCTTTCATTGCCCACCACTGCTCACGGTCATTTCTTAGACTTTTTCTTAACCTAGATCTGATTTGTTGTCGCTCTTCATCATGTTCGGAACCTGGTGGGACGAGTTTGCGAGAATCCATCAGTGTGATAGACTTTAAAGAAATCCACTGGTTCTTTGTAACTCTGTGGTTTAATTCGCTAATAGATGTCACTGCTGTTTCCACAGCTGCTTGTATGTCTTTCCAAGCAACATCTGGGTCAGCCTCGTCTTCAGAACTACCTAATTGTGACCTCAGTTGATCTTGGAACCTATTTTTGGTTTTCTCGTTACTCAACTCAGTTCTAATGGGTCTTTTTGGTGTGGCTTTTTTGCGTCCAGTGAGGCGCAAGCAGATGCGTGCCCGTATTAGGGCGTGGTCAGAGTCCAAGCAGGTACTCCAGAATGAGCGAAATTCTCCTACCGACCCTCTCCAACGATGACTGATGGCAATATAGTCTATTTGAGTCCATCGTTGGTTTGGTGTAGGGGGTCGCCATGTTAGACGATGTCTCTCCTTATGCTTAAAATTTGTGTTTGCTAAAATTAAGCGATTGTCTGAGCACAGTTACAGCAGACGGTCACCAGTATCTGTTCACTGTGCCGGAATGCTAAAATATCCACCTAAATGCCTTCCGTTTGGTTTAAGCTACCTATCTGAGCATTAAAGTCACCCCCTATGAGTATTATGTCTGAGCGTTTAGCTTTCTGAAGAAGTTCAGAAAGCTTTCTGTAAAATTCATCTTTCACTTCATCTGAGCTGCAGTCAGTGGGAGCGTAGGCAGAAACGACGAAAAGGCAACGACGTGTGTCCCTATCCTTCCGAGTTCTTACGGAGCCGTTTAGCCGAACAGCACATAGACGACTGTTGACCGGGATCCACTCTAGCAGTGCTTGTTCCGCCCTCATGCTTAGTGCTATGCCTACACCTGCCAGTCCACGAGAACTGGCTATCGGGTCACCAGATACACGTAGGGTGTATCTCGTTGGCTCTCCGTTTTGCCGAGGTGAGGTCAAGTGAATGACCACACTGGAATCCTGTATGCGTGTTTCAGAGACACAGCATACATCAATGGAAAGAGACTCTAGGTTTCTAGCCAAGGAAGCCTGCTGACCGATTTGACATAGGGTTCGTACGTTGAAGGCTGCAATGTGTAGCTTGGAGCGAGGTTTCAGTAGACATGGGACAGTGTTTTGAGCACTAGAATCGTTGGCTATGGTGACACTTGAGGGGGAAGCCGAAAAAGGAAGTTTAGAGGTGAAAGTCGATGTAGGAGGAATAATAGGAAGTGAAGACGGAGGTTAATTATGAATACAGTGGCCTTGAGCGCTGTTAGAGGTATGAGGGCAGTTATCACTTCCCGGTTGCCCGCACCGAAGAAGGGTTCTTCTAGAGGTGTCTGAAAAAGAAATTGGGTTAGAGGTGGTCTTAGTGACCTGAGGGCGTGACCGCAGCGCCCAAGGGACAACTGCTTGAGGTCAGTCACACACAACCTTTTCGTGGGTAATTTTTGTGTTAGCTCCGTACTTGTTGAGACCTTACCGCCGGAGACGGATATCCGTGGGATAAGACGAGGTGTGTGTTTTTAGGGTCGACCTTTTCTAACCCCACCCCTCCATGTGGGAAGGCAGCATCGCTGTCAGGCTGGTTGCCTGAAGGAAACACCTTACTGTTGTCACACCTCTGAACACTCAGCAGTACGACTTCGCCTTCGGACCTTGGGTTTGTTGCTTTTAGTCTTACCACTCTTCAACCGACCTGTCTGACATGGTAGGACCTTGAGGAACGGTTGTTCCAGTCAGTATAGCTCGGTTGCTTCATCACGATAGGCAAGCCCGACCACCACGTCAAGGTAGCAACAACGGTCGGGTATCCGCAACCTCCGGAATAGAAGTCAACGACTTTTATTTAATAATTTATCACTATAACTA